AGGTGGATCTCTGTGAGTTTGAGGCCATCCTGGTCTACAGGGTGAGATCCAGGACAGGCACAACTGCATGGTGAGACCCTGTCTCGAAAGGGAGGGGAGGTGGTGGTGGTGACATGGCTTGCTGGGGAAAGGCGCTTACAGTGCAAGTGCAAGCCTGGTGAGCCGAGTTCAATCCCCAGAACCCATGTAAAGGTGGAAGGAAGATCTGGCTCCACACAGTTGTCCTCTGACTCCACACGTGCATGATGGCACAAGCCCATTTCTCCCCAATATCTATCACTACCCTGTAGCTGAAGTTTCTCTTCAGGTCCCGCCAAGCCCCCTCAGTCCTGCAGCCCACAGCCCACTTATAAAATAATCACTCAGAAGCTTATATTAATTATGAACTGTATTGCCTAATGGCTCGGGCTTCTTGCTAGCTAGACCTTACATGTTAAATTAACCCATTTCTATAAATCTATACCTTGCCACATGAATCATGGCTTACCAGTATCTTTACATCTTGTTTCTCATGGCAGCGGCTGGCAGATTCTCCTGACTCAGCCTTCCACTTCCCAGAATTCTCCTTTCTCCTTATCCCACCTATACTATACTATGTTATGCTATGCTATGCTATACTATGCTATGCTATGCTATGCTATGCTATGCTATCCTATGCTATGCTACGCTACACTATACTATACTATGCTATACTATGCTATGTTATGCTATGCTATTCTATGCTATGCTATGCTATGCTATCCTATGCTACGCTACGCTATGCTATACTACACTACACTATACTATACTATACTACACTACACTATACTATACTATACTACACTACACTATACTATACTACACTATACTATACTATACTATACTACACTATACTGTAGTACACTACACTATACTACACTACACTACACTACACTACACTATACTATACTACACTACACTACACTATACTATACTACACTATACTATACTATACTATATACACTACACTATACTATACTACACTATACTATACTACACTACACTACACTACACTATACTATACTACACTATACTACACTACACTACACTACACTATACTATACCATACTACACTATACTACACTACACTATAGTACACTACACTACACTATACTATACTACACTACACTATACTATACTATACTATACTATACTATACTATACTATACTATACTATACTATACTATACTTCCTGCCTGGCTACTGGCCAATCAGCATTTTATTTATCAATCAATCAGAGCAACACATTCACAGCACACAGAAAGACATCCCCAGCACTACCCCTCTCTCCCTCTCCTTCCCCCTCCCTGCTTTCCTCCCCACACATGCACACACAACTTACATTTGTGTGCATGAGCACATGTCAACCATGTTTTTATTTAATCTACATTGTGCTTACAAAGGAAATTCATGGCTGCATGGTTCTCTGCCAGCTACCTTTCCGCCTCCTTCCTCATTCTTGCTCCTTTTCCTCCCAGTTATATCCAGCCTTCGGCCATAGATTTTGTTTTGTTTTGCTTCCTGGCAGTGCTGGGAATCAAACACAGGACCTGCACATGCTGGACAAATGCCAAAGGCCATCCTAGCCTTTGTTCATCTGTCTTTCCATCATTCAATAAACATTTACTAGACAGCTACTATATGTCTAAGATCGTAGAAGGATGAAAAGGATTCCCCATGCTCTCTAGACACTCAGCATCCACTTTATCATTAAAAATTAAACTTTTATTTTGGAGTAACTTTAGATTTATAGAAGATAGTTGCAGGAACTAGAGAGATTGCTTGGTGGTTAAGAGCACTGACTGCTTTTCCAGAGGACCAAGGTTTGATTCCCAACCCCCTACCTGGTAGCTCATAACCATCTGTAAATCCAGTTTCAGGGAATCTGCTGCCCTCTTTTGGTACTTCACACCCAGTACACAGACATGCATGCAAGCACAACACCTATACACATAAAATACAACTTGAAAAGTAACCAGTGGGCCTGGAGAGATGGCTCAGTGGTGAAGTGCATCGCTGCTCTTCAGAGGATCCAGGTTTGATTCCCAGCACCCATGTACCAATTTACAACCATCCATAACTCCAGTTCCAGGGGATCCAATGCGCTCTTCTGACCTCTGTGGGTACCAGCTATCACATGGTGCAAAAATATGCATGCAAGGAAAACATTCATACACATAAAGAACAAAATAATTTTAAAGGTAACTGGGAAAATATCAAAAAGAATGTGTTGCAGAATGGTGCAGAGTTCCGGTCTGGCCTTGTGCAGTTCTGGTTTTCCTTCACGTTACTACCTCACCCCTGCTCCTTCTTCAGAGCTCAGCAGCCAGGGCTGCTGCAGCCCTCTGGGTTTCCCAGTAGCTCCTGACCCAGAGCATCACACTGCAGTTTTTCTGTTGTGCTGTGTCTCCTTGGGCTCTTGGCTCTCCAAACCGTCTTGTGTTGATGACCTTGACAATCTGACAGTTCAGCTATGTTTTCAGAATATCTGTTTCCTTATTAAAATGCGCCTATGGACACAAACTAGACAAAAAATTAAGACAAAAAATCGTGTGTGTGTGTGTGTGTGTGTGTGTGTGTGTGTGTGTGTGTGTGTTGCATTGGTGAGTCTGTTCTGCATTGGCCAACCACTCCTAGCCATGGGGCCTGCCCTGCAGTATAACTGATATTCCCAGTGACAGTGAGTATCGTCTTGGTTAGGGTGGGACTTGGTGTCCATTCCCCTTCTCAGTGTTGGGATTTTCTCAGTTTGCACAGTGCCAGTCTTGTGCGTGCTGCCACAGTCTCTGTGAGGTCATGGGTGTCCATCCTGCTGTTTCTTTGGAATTGTCCACCATCTCTGGCTCTTACTATCTTTCTGCCTCCTCTTCTGCAAGACATCTCGTGTAGGACTGAGTGCTCCAAAGTCTCTCACTCTCTGCGCATTGTCCAGTTGTGGGTCTCTCTGTTAATTCCCATTTACTATAAGAACAAGCTTCTCTGATGAGGGTTGAGCAATGCTCTGGTCTATGGGCATAGCAATATGTCATTAGGAGTCATTTTATTGCTATGTCCATTTACCAGAATAATAGTAGTCAGTTTTCTTCTAGCCCCGTAACTGATCTAGTTTCATTTTGGTATTTTTGTCTTATTGTTTATATATATATAAACTTATTTGTGTTGGTATTTGTTTTGTTTTAGGGCGAAAGAACATTGGGTGGGTATGAGGGGAGTCGGTGGAGAGGAAATAATATAATCAAAATATTGTATAAACAATAAATTAATTTTTTAAAAAAGAATGTGGTTATGGGTTTTTTTTTTTTTTAAGAATCCAAATGTAATCAAGTACCCCTGTTCTTTCCTCCTCCCCAGGGATCCCTGATGTCCACATGGCACTCTTGGTTACAGCCTTCTCCTTTAAAGTTACTGTTTTTTGCTTTGGAAACAAATCCCTCAGTTCAGTCTCCCCCAGAGACGGGAGGATTAAGTTTCTCTCCTAAAGAGGACAGCATCCGTATCTATTGTTTGAGTTCTTATTGACTTATTAATTCCAGTATTGATGGGTGTGGATTATCGATTTCTTTGGCAGAGCTGAGGCTGGAATTCAGAGCCTGGCACACTAGGCAGGCGCTCTGCCATGGGGCCAAGGACGCTTGATAGAGTTTAGGTCAGGTCTCCCTGAACTCACTTGTCCTCTGGTTGCTCCTGTTTGAACACTCAGGCTCTTTGTGCTCCTCTCTTCATTTCCCT